CTTTGATCCTCTAGTTTAAAACATAGAATTTAAATGTCTAAACTTATGTTTTTAAATTTAAATTTTACAAACTGTTAAGTATTTAATGTTTTTTATTGTTCAAAAATTTGTTTAAAAGCTGAATATTTTTATGATTCCTGTGTTATTAGTATTTCGTCGTATATAGTTAACAATCATTTTGAGGAAATCGATCAGATCAATAACTATACGTTATATTACGGTAAAATAATTATTTATTGATGATGTTAAAAAGTTGAATGCCAATTGCGAAAGAAATTGAGTTTAGTAAAGCACTGGCCTCTTTTTGAGATGAAAGGAGGGGGGGATTATCAAGTCTTTTTCAATACACTAATTTATAAATGAATATACAATTATTGAATACTGCCTCTTTCCTGCAGACATCCGTTCATGTAGCACACGTTGTGTTGATCCTTAGCTACTCATAAGGAGAGAGGAAGTTTGTTTGTTACAGTAGAAAATCCTTCGGGTAAATGTCCAAATACAAAATTAATTTATTACAATCTCACGAACAAAGCGATTGGTTTTGATTTAGTTAGTCATATGCCACTAGCAATAGTACCCATAGAATAACATGAATTGACGTCACTGTAAGATCCTGAATCATAGTATTACGGTATTATAAATTATATTACTATTAACTTGATGCCGAATATTGATGAAGTAAATATTATCATTATTAGATACTTTAAATGAAAGCATGATTTGTGTAGCTTTCATATATTAATTTCAATAATATATGCGTAAAATAGTATATTACACAACTATTATTAATGCAATAATGACCATTGCTTATAAGTTATAACATAACGGCAATCAATATCAAGCGGTATATAGAGTAAAACATTAATTATTAATATATGTCACCCCTTTTAATAATATTAAATCGAAAAATTTGTATGTTTGAACGTGCTTATTTTAGAAACAGTTCGATTTAAATTTTCAATAAATATTTTTATCAATAGATTCTGAGTGAGATTTTAAGGACCAACTTTCAATTTATTTTTTCAACATCTAAGGAGTGGCTCGTAAATGAATTTCGTTTTGGCTCACGTAAATCGAATAATAAATTGTATGATTATAATATTATATATGGTTGCTATTTATAACAGAAATAATAATAATAATAATAATAAAAAATGTATAGATTAGCCAAACCATCCCATGCGTGTTAATATAGATTTTTATTAAATAATATTAAATTTATTATTTGTAATTCAAATGTACAAGAATTTCCTTATATTTGTTAAGAACTTAAAAATACTTGACCGATTTTTCCAATAAGATTAATTGTTCTTATATATATATCAGAAAAGTTCAAAGAGTAGTTTGAATCTTGTTCAAAAAAAAAAAAACCTAAATGCTATATCCAATCATTCACATGTTCATCCAACCATATTGGTAAAATTATTCGAGAATGTGAGGTACACTCGATGTCGATTTTCCAGTTAACTATATAACAATAAAACCGAGATACATCAATATAGTATCGTAGTATCTCACTTTTATTAATAACAACATATATTTTATATAATATATGAATTATATGAAATTAAATATTTATGCAGAATATTATTTGAAGTAGATATATTTCGATTTATAAAAATCAAATTTCGAATAAGTAGTTTATCAGTTATAAATTATAAATATTTAAATTTTATTTGAGTGTAGTGGACCAACATTTTATGCACGTCCGTGTCTAGTGTCTTATCTATATTGGTCATCTAAACTTTAAATAGGTACTTATAATTTATACATTTCTTGTATAAAATTCAATTATCAAGTATTTCAAAACATATTCTGTTTTAAAATAAGGAATTTAAAATGCACGTTGTCATTAAAAAATTAAAGTATTTAAAAATGATGATGATAAAAATACAATTTGTTTTATTAAAAAACAATAGAAATAAAAATAAAAAAAACATATTATTTTAGAAAATATATATTTCTTAACAAGTTAAAATTATGTAAAATAATAGTGTATAACACCTTAAAGTTCCAAACAATAAAAAATGCAGACATTATTTTTATTAGTTATTATTCAAATGTCAATGTTATACTTAGGAGTTAAACATCCAAACTATTTAAAAACATTTGGTTGGTCGTATTTTTATAAAATTATAAATTATAAAAATGTAAAGTATATGCTAATAATATGAAGTTGGTGTAATGATTATAGCGATATTAAAATTTTAAATATATTTAAACACTATAGGTAATTCAAAGAAACTTATAAGTGATTCTATTCTTAAGCTATTTATCTATAGATATAGTTGTTTCATAATTAAAAAATTATAATTACTTATGTTATAAATATGTTACATATAAAATTTTAAAACTGTCAAAATACTTGTAAAAACACCCAGTGTGTTGAAACATTTTAATTTATAATAATAAAAAAAAAAAAACTGTATTACGCCGGAAAGAACTGAAAAGGTTGATAATACCATTAATACTTAAAAATGTAAATTTAAAAATAAATGTTCATTATAAAAAAGAAGTACATTTTTTTTTCATGCAATATCCATATTATCACAATTATAAAAAAAGGTGATTCAAATTTTATAAATATAAAAACAGACTAAAAAAAAAATAATATTTTTTTATTATGTTATCGAAAAAAATAAAAACAAAATTACTTAGTCAAATTTTGAACGTTTATTTTTGTGATCAAAATTTGGTTTTTAACTATAGAACTATTATAATCTGAGTGGTTCTTGTTCTTACGAAATGGTTTTTAACAACCAATTTATGAATGTGTCAATGTGTGGCGACTTTTTTAAGCTTTAACTATATTGTTAAGGATATATTTTTATTTTTTTTTTGTTAAGATGCAAATATTAGAAAATTAAAACACTCTTTAAAGCAGCATTACTGTTAGTAAATTTTAAATTTTAAATAAATAAATTAAGCGATAAATGTATTGCTCCATTTCTTGAATACTTACCATTTTATTTTTGTAAATAAACAAATTTATCCGAATGCTATCTATGAAATTTTACTAATGAAAACACTGAATAATGGTCAATAGTACATAAACACATTGGGCTGAGTTTTATACTTCAATATTTTATAAAAATTATAGATGTATTATAAATTTGTTTAAACAGTCCTTACTTTTGATAAGAAATACCTAAAACAGTTTACTTTTAAAATATAAAATTTCATAAGTTATAGACAATATTATTATATATTAATAAATATAAACAAAAAACTGTTAAATATTTTTTAAATTTAAATTTTATTGTTTATAAAATATATTTTTTTAAACAGACATATTTTATGTTTAATCAACTCATCGTGGTAATGTTGTAAAGTAATAATATGTTTGTTATAAATATATTCATGTATAACTGTACAAACTTAATAGATCATCATTATGATGAAATTATAAACCAATTTAATTATATTATAGAAATTTGGTTTGTTTTCCTATCGATATTCGACAATACACTAAGTATAATACCTTTTACAAATAATATAGTAATACCGCTGAAAAGTGCCACAATATATTTTATAACCAGACATTTTAGTGAATCATTATCAGTTTAAGTAATTAAAAATGAGCAACGTGCCAGTGTGAGACCGAAATAAAAATTAAATCATTTATTCAAAATAAATTAGTAAAAAAATATATTTAATTGAAATTTATAAATAGTTAGAAGTTATTGTTTGAAATAATTTTTAAGTGCAATTACGTTAAACTTATCATTATTATAATTATGATTTCCAGAGCTCTTTAATAGTAGTTATAAATAAATATAATAATTTAATTAAAAATTAAAGATCCATCGAGTCCCGGAACGCCAGACACTCGTTTGCCTTTTTCAACTTTCAAACTTCAAACCTTCTCACTTCAAAACATTTTTAATTACTATTTTTTACGGCTGTGTGTAATTTTATAACTGTGTACTGTTTAAATTAAAAAAAAAAAAAATGAAATAATTAATAAGACAATCAAAATAACTACATAACATTATATTATACATTAAATATTTATATACAATTATAATTTCTTTAAAGAAATAAGCTATAGCCGTCACAACCAGCGCATTAATAAATTATATTTTAAATGTTACACACAACACGCTAATATAAATATTATTACCTCGTGTTAACAATTAATAAACAATTAAAAACAGTAAAACTGCATTCTGTACATGTACTCTAATAAATTTATATACTTAACTATGTTGTTATCAAATGTTCACAATTTATCATTTAGTAATTTTTCATAATACAATTTGAAATTAGAAAATATTCTTTCCAATGATTGTGCTATGGATGATGGAAGATTCAAGAATCTCTGTGCTATGTTTACTCGATCTCGATGCTTATTTTTAGCAAAGACCGAAAAACTCTCCAGGAGATTTGTGTCATTTTTTAAAAACAATTACAAAAATACCGGATTTTTTTTGCCATTGTAAATTATTCGATCCATATCACCATTAATATAGTCATTAGAAGTTTTTTTACGATGATAGATGTTATTTTTTAACATAAAAAAAATATTGAAATGTATTATAAATAGGTTTTATTTGTTTGGATGTAATTATACGTTTAAACTTGGATTACAATAATAGAAAAACCCGTCCAATTGATTTATCTCGTTGTGCTTGTATAATACTATAAATAATATATAATAATTTCTAATACAACATATATCTGTTTCTACACTTTCGTACAAAAGTTCTCGGTTTACGAATATGTTCCAACAGAAGCCGTAAGACTTTTGTACCTCTGGAAATTTAATACAGCTAATAATTGAGAAGTTCTCTCGTGTACATATATTAATACGTCTGTAGCTCGTTGGTTTTGTTTTATTTTTCATTAATATATTATTATATAATACTTAGTGGTGAGCTAACACGAGAACAGAGTTTTTTTTGTTTCTGTTACCCAGTCGATTTGCTATAATACTGCGGGCGCCTACCTATTTACTTACGATTATTTTTATTTGTATTTATACGGTATAATTAGTGTTTTAATTGGTTTCATTCAAACTGCTGCAGTTGAGAGAGCAACAAACAGGTACTCGAGCCAATGTAATTTATAATTTTAATTTCATACGGCTTCATGTACGAATTATTGTTGGCGCTGTGCAATTTCATTGAACGTTATCTTCTTAAAGTACGTAAATCACTTCATTGATTCGATTACAGTTATCTATACAGTCAACTTAATCACAAACCCGCGGTAATGCCCTAGCTGAGTTCAATGTTTAAAATACACGCGAGCCACGGTATAAAAAGTGTTGATGTCTTAATGTCGTATATGTTAGATCATCTAATTTAATCTCTTCGAATTTATATTTTATTTGATTAATGCTAATGTATACAGCTAAAAGGTGAATTTTGGATTAACTTATTATTGGTTTCATTATGACTAGCTTAATACATAAAACGTGGCAATAATAATAGGAAAAGTACTTACAAACTTACAAGTCTTGAAAGTACAATTACTAATGTATTATAATTTATATTTTATATGTGTCGTATTATTAAATTATTTATCAATGATAAAATACCGACTAATGTAAAATAATTTAATTAAAACGTCGTACACATTATGCTGGGTTTTTATGTACCTATCAAATGTTAATATATCTGTTTAATAATATTTAAAACAAAATTAAAAATACTTATTGGAAGTTATGTAAGATGTCAGCGTATAAACTGTTGTATCATAATTATTCATAATCATATATTACACAATCGTTACAATATCATCATAACAAAACTAATCTAAATATTTTTTATTGTGTGACCAAACAAATTTACTTGGAAAGGAATTATATATTGCCCATTGTCCAACGTTTTTCAGTATTTAAATTTTAAAAAAATGTTCATATTAGTTTATAGAATACTTATATGAAATTTACTTGACGTTAGAAAAAATAAAAAAGTATTGCACAACCCTAATAAATATTGTTTTTGGTTAAGTTTGTCTGTTTTTTACAGTTTGGTTACTAAGTACAAAATACATTTTAAGAGCGGATTGTATAAAAAATGTTGGATAAAGATAACATTATAACAACCACTATTTAATATAAATTGTTTAAAAATGTCAGTTTATGTAATGTATCGACTGATTTTTAATTATTAATTATGTAGGTATATATTTAATTAAAAAGGTTTATTAAAGTATTAACATTCTTTGAAATAAATAATTATAAATATTTAAAATAATTTATATTAACTACGTTAAACATTGTTGATCTTAACTCGGCTAAATATTAATGTATTAAAAAATATAATCTATTTAGGAAAATATTAACTTATTCTGAATTTCACGATATTACCGGTTAATAAAAAAATATTTAGTGGATATTTAGAATTTAGATAAAATATAAAAAAAAGGTAATAGATGCTTTTGTGATCGCAAACCAAATTTATACTATTTTTATATAAGTCATATTAATTATTCGTTTTATTTGAGTATTAAAAAATAATTATTATTTTCAGATAAAACTAAGTTTCATTAATATAATCTATAAGTAAAAAAATTAATAAATAAACAAATAAATAAAAATTATAATACTACGTATAAATGATTAATAATCACCTAATAAATATATTAGCTTCAAGTACCTACTCCATGAAAAATATTAAATTACTAAACAAAATGGTACTTAAAAATTATAATTGTTAGTACATGTAGCATAAGTAATCGCTGCCTTATCGCTTGAATGATATTTTTGATGCGTAAAAACTAAAACATAGATATCATTGATTTGATTATTATAAATAGAACGTTTTAAATGTTATTGTGTAAAAAAAATCAATGCTCCCTATCAGCATAAAACAGAATTACAAATAAATTATTTTTTAAAACCCTCATAAAATATAAGTATTAATTTATTGTCTATATTTACAAATTATATTAAGTGTAATTCAATAGGTAAACATAAAATTGTATTGTCACCTATTGTAAAAATATTAAATCTGTGATATTGTGTTTTAAACGTAGGTACCCACAATAGCTTTGTATCAGTCGCACGTACACATATCATTGAACACAGTTAATTAGTTAATAATTATGGCTTGTAACCTGTGGAAATATCAACATACCGATGATTCTATTAATTATTAAATTATATAGTTAAACTTCAATCATTAACATGTTACGCCAATTATCAGTTTTGTAAAAAATATTTATTCTCAGAATATTTAAACACTTTTTTGGATAAACGAAAAAGTAAAAGAATACCTTGTCTTGAAAGTATTGAAGATATATTAAAAATACTTGAAAAAGTATTCGAACATTATTTTTTTGTACATCATGAATTTTAATTTCCTTAACTATCTATTTTATGTATACTTACGTAATTTCTAATTTTTTGAATATTTTATGGAAAAAAAAAATGATACAATTTATATTTATTATGTTCTATATAGACATAATTTTATAAAAAAAACCATAAATTCAGTATTTTTTTATGGATTAGATGTAATAACCAGTACTTTAAACCCTATCGAGTATTGATTAAATAAATGTTTTCAAATTATTTTTCAAAAATAGTGTTTAAATATTAATAATAACGAGGTTATTACATTTGAGTGTAAAATACTAATACGCATTTTGTTGGGAAAATTATTATTTCACAGAAATAAACCTTTTTTTTACGGGAATAAAAAATAGAAAAAAAATACTTATAATATCTATTTGAATAATTCAGCTTATGACGAACAAATGTGTATGATCAAGAATTGAGGATATCATATTATCTTAAATCTTCTTCATGCATAGATACAATAATATATTATATTATTTAACTTCGGCAGCAACTAAAATAAATATAAGTACATATTTTTTTTCTCTCCGAATGTTTTAGTGCAAAAAACAATAATACTTAACTTTCAAAAGACAACCTTTGCAAAACAAGTTCATTCGAAATTAGATTTAAAATTGATTAAAAAAATAAAAAAATACATGTATGAAATACACGACATGCTCGACATACACGTATTATATCGTATGCAATTTGACGTAATATCTTCAAGTTGAAACCCCACAAAAAAAAAAAAAAAAATTAAAAAACACAGTATAATTTTTTTGTTATTCGATATATTATGGGTATTATTATGAATTCTGCAGTATTACATATAAATATATACGAGCTTTCTCTATAACACGTGTACCTATGATGTAAAAACTAAACAGTTTAGATTATTTCTATTCGATTACGTTTGTAAATAGTTATAGATGGTTTTTAAAGTTATAATTGTTATAAACGAGAATAATTTGAACTTTTTTAATCCTTTTGAATTCATTCTTAATAAATTAAATTTTTTAACAAGTTTACGGATGTAGTGCTGAAGGTATTATTGGATTTCTTGTAATCAATCACGGAATCCCGGGATTACAAAGGTCTGTGATCAAATTCTGTTGGTCCGAACGTTTAATGTATACTTACAACTAATTTATTACCATTAGGTAAATAACTTGAGCAGAGTTGTGGATATATTATAATAATTAATAATATTCAAATATTCATATATATATATATATAATTAGGAGTACCGACTTACATCTCAATTCACAAAGATATTAACTAAAACTTTTGTGTGTGTGTGTAACATAATATGTATCAGTCATTATATCAGAGTAATATATTAATAATATTGTACATCTAAGACTTAAAATTTATAAGTGTGTTGTGAAATAACGTGTACAATTTACAAAACATATACGAATAAGAACATAACGACTCGGGTAAAGTCGTATAAGATGACTGGTACATACTCGTATAGTGGTTATATTTATGTATTATACCCAGGTACACGGATTTTTGTTTTCGATAAACATGAGCGGTTTATTATTCACGACCACAGTATATTTATCTGACAAAAACATACTTATAGAAAGTAGATAATATATTATATATATATTTTATATAATCCACAATCATGCATTAAATCAAATAATGTTTCAGATAATTCCAACGAGCAGCATTTGTTAAATAATATTCTCGAGTATTTACCTCATAAATCATAATATACATTAATATATATTTATTTTATTTTCATATAACTAAAAAGTTTTATATACGTGTGTATGTGTGTGTGTGTGCGTTACGGTTAATTTGGTCGAGCCCGGGTTAATTTAACAGTGGAAAGCAAAAAATTTATTTTTCGTGAAGTATTTTTTATTCGATTTATTATTACAATTAGGTAAGTAATAATTATACCATGTTCACTATCCATATTGTGTTATTAATAGAGAAGATAATTGATTTAATATCGATTATAATTTCATTATTACCTATTTATTATATGTATTTTAAATATTTTAAAACAATTAGGTATTGTTTTTAAATTCAAAATAGATGAATTGCTTAGATTCTTAGCGGAGTGATAAATATATCAGTTATTATAACTGCATTTCATAAAATAATATCGATTGATGTAGTATACTAGTATAGGTATATTTAGGTACGTTACCCTACCCACTTCTGTAGCTTATAACATCTCAACAGCAAAAACTGTTATTTCGTAATTTTTATTCATGTACATACTTGAATATTTTTCTTATAATTTACAGTAATAATATACTGTACGTACATAAACATAACACTCGTATTGAGTTTGGAAATGCTTGTAAATACAGGTTTAAATGCAATAGAGAAAACTGAGATCTATGTAGGTATTTATGGTTATTGGATATTTATCTAACGATTATTTCATGGAAGTGTATAGATAAAGATTTAGAATAGACATACATGTGACCTGTTCATTTACGATTCATTGACATGCCTCATATGTATGTATACAATAATAATAAAACAAGTTAAGAATTCAGATTATAATACGTTGAAAAATAACTTATCATAGGACACATAAGTGAATTATTAATAAATATGCATATTTTTATGACACACGTTTTTATACTATACATTTAATCCAATACAATTATTATTACCTACATTGCCTCGTATATTGGTATCTACTATCTAGTATTGGACGTTTGTTTACTGCGTATATCGTTTTAAATTTTAAATTACTTTTCGTTATTGAACTATAAAAACAATGATCAAAATTGTGTCAATACGTATTGACTAACTATTTTGATATAGTTAATATTTTCAATGAAAATTATTTATAACTATAGAAATTTAGAAAATATATTAATTTGTAATTTGTACACAACACACATAACACGTAATAATACTAATATGGGCAGCCTGCATACCGACTCGATTATGACAAAATGTAGGTAAAAGTGACTCCAACGAGATGGTTTTCTATTTTTTTAACAATAAAATTATCAGTAAGTATGTATTATTATTCCAAAACAAATCATATATGCGCGAAATGTTGACTATAATAAATGTATATAAATATAACTATATAAGTTAATAATATATAAGAATATTATTTTTAAAATAGATAAATAAATAGCTAAAAAATAAATGTGAATAAAACATTTCAGAAACGTGATCATATACTTACCTAATGTACATGTAAACATAACTTTATTTTATTTAGACAAGCCCTATTATATTCAAAAACGAGAAATACCTCATATTACAATGTAAAAAAAAAAAAAAATAATAAAATAATGCTTTTCTATTTAAAAGATGATATTACTATACAGTATGGGTATCTACAGTTCATAGTAATAAGTATGCAAATACTATTATGATTGTTTTATTCAGACTTATAAATTATACTCAATAATTATAAAATCTTAAATAAGTATAGGTACTACCCTTATAGTATTATAGATTGTTCGACCAATAGTCAGTTTTTTTCATCAATTTATTAGAACATTGGATTGAATAATATTTTAATGCATAAATAACATTTCCATGTAAGTATTTAAAATCTAGAAGTTCGTGAAAAAATAATCTCGTCGAAATATTATCATGATACATACACATAACACATACTCTTAATGGCATAATAGATAATTATATGAATAGATAAAAAAATAGAATATACTTAATACCCTTTTTTTGTGTGTCAGCCTAGAAACCACTAAGAACTGGAAATTTTAAATCATGTAATTTAAAAATGCATGCTAAATAAAATTGTAGTTTACCTAGGTGCCTAATACTTAGTTAATTGTAGACTATAAAATACGATTTGAATTAGCAGTTGATTATTTTATTTTTTCTTTCATTTATTCGTGGAAGAGCATGTACTTTTCATTGACCTTTTATACTATATTTGTATAGGGTTTCCGTTTTTAATCAAACCGTATTGTATGTGTTCATTGTTAAGTAAACTAATATAATATTATAATTATAAATGTCAATATAATCACGTTAGATTTTTGAAGTGCTTTAAATTCAGACTGTGTAGCATAATATGAGTACTATTTCTGTTTCGAACAGAGAGGAGGTACTTTTCCTCGTATGTTTGTAACCCATAATCGTTTCCTGTTAAGTAAATACCTAACAGTAAGATCTAAAATATGATATAGTATATCTATTTTAATTGATTGCCTAATTATTATCGTAGAAAGTATCATCAGTACACCGCGCCCTGCAATACACTAGGTATTATATTAGTGTGAGGCTGCTGATCCCAAGAAACAGCAGCTTCTGAAGTTGATAATTAGTATCAAATTATACTATAATAGTATCTTTGATTCCGTGTTCTGTTCAATTAAAACGATTAGGTTAAGTTTGAAACTTGTGTGTATCTTTGAGATTTTATTAAAGAAAATAATATGTTCTATGCTATATGTATACTATAGAAACTTTTCATGAGCAGTGTAACTACTTAGCTACTTAATTTATTTTAAATTGACCAGATTAACAATAAGTTTGGAGTATATTTTGTAAACTGTAGAACTGAATAAGAAATATTTCATTGTTATTAAGTGGTAAATCTAAATATCAAAATAAATAATTTATTTTTATATTGGAAAATGTATATATAACTGATGTAATTACTTTTTTAAAATATGTATAACTATGGGGTACTTTATTATATTATATTTATATTTTCATAAATATATTAAAAATGTTGTCTAGTTTTAAATTTAGTTTATGACTAAAATAAGAGTAATTTTACATTTTTGTTAAATTCATATAATACACATAGATATTTATATTTATTTACGTATCTACTAGATATCAGTACTTATGAATCTATTTCGGGGAACGGAGTCAAAAACTTTAGGATTTGTTATTTTAGTATAAAAATTTATTTGCAAACCCATTGCATTTTCTTACATCTAATTGTATAAAATAAGTATCTGTATAAAATGTTTATACTGTGTAAAAAATAAAATATGAACAACAGTTAGTACTTTTATGTAAAACTGTTAAGTATGTACCTTAAAATTACAATATTAATATATGTAATCTGATCTATCAAACATGATCACCCCAATTTTTTTTTAATTATTCAGTTATTCAGAATCTGATTTTGGGGTTTTTAAATATACTTAAAAAACATATTATTTTAAAATTATAGAATTTTTTTTACTACTTAAGGAACGTTCTGTGGAGATATAAACTTCTGTTTTTAAAATTATTTTTCACATAATTTTCTGACGTAAAAAATTAAAATTTGAATGAGTGGTTATTAAATTATTTAAATTTGCGTATAATAAGAGTACACTAAGGGCTCTGATAATGGTTTTGGTAAGTATGAGAGATGATTTAAAAATATTACCTCATAATAATAATAATAATCTATCAACACTTATAAAATTGGTTCAAATACTAGGTAAATTCATTTTTTACTAGGATAAAATTATCTTTAAGGACTATTGACTTAAGTATAAATATTTTAGTAATTGAGGAACTGCTCGTTTGAATTTTTAATTAGGTACATCTACATTTTTAAAAATGTTATCCACTATAATTCACTAATAAGGGTTTCATTTAAACATAAATAAGTTTGCATCGCTATGAAACAACTCTTAAGTAGTATGGTAGTTATGTAAGTAAGTGTTTTAAGTAATATTTAAAAATTCTAACATTCAGAATTCGAATAAATGTATTAATGTAAATGTAAATCACTGTATTCGAGTGTATCATTGGGCGTTATTTGAATAAAATTGTAGTTAGATGATTATTTAGATAATATTTTATTCAAATGTTTTCAAACATAATCTTAATACTTATGTGTTATAGTATAATTTATATTAACTATAATAATGATAAATAAAAAATTATTAAATTCTTCGTTATGTTTATGACGTACTTACCTATATACCTTACCAATTATAAATATTAAATACGTTATTATTGTTGTAAATAGTTCATTTTCATTATTATAGTCTCATCTAGAATAATTTAGCTATTCTGTTTTTAAATAATATATTCATATAAATATTATTTATAAAATAAATTTTTTTTTCTAATAATTTATTTATCGAAAAATGTGTTGGTGTACAATGTACACTGTACATAATCTAATTTGTAATACCAGTAATGGCTGCAACTATGACCAATTTACTAAAATACAACAAACTAGCATGTTTGAAAAAAAGATGATTTTGTAATCGAATTTAAAATTTCATTAATATAAATATTTGTTATAATTATTTATTTTTGTTTCTGTTATTAGTATTTAATATTTACTATAATTTATCGTCAAAATTACCTTTTACGAAGTTATTATAACATTATTAAGATTTATAATATACTTTCTTTTATAGTTCTTTATAATATGCTTTTTTTATAATATTTTTGTATCTATTCCGAATAAAATAAAATTTATAGTCGTATAACTTAAAATCCAAAGCTAACTATTATTTTTAATAATGGCGTGTTTAAAATTATAATATATCTTCTTAATCTTTAATAAAATAATTAATAATTAATTTAAATTATTTTTTATCCGAATTATTATGTTTTTAAATTATTTGAATACATAATGAATATGTATTCGAATAATATTTTATTCTTATTAACTGTTATTTAAATAATCATCTAAAATCTAAATACAATTATATTCGAAAACGCTCTAGTCTGATAAGTATGAAAAATGTTACGTATAAAAAGTAGGTAGACTCCATTTTCTGCCGACTTCTCCTCGTCCCCCCACCATCTCTCACAAATTAAATCATTGAAAATGGATGATTTTAAAACTTTTTTTTTTTTGCCTCTCACGCGCACGCAGTTCCAGAGCCTGACGAACTTACCATGTGGGCTGGAGTCCAACAACAACTTAGCCACCGCTGGGGTGAGCATGGACGAAGAGGACGGTAGTGCAGACGATGATGAGCACATACGAATCAACCGGTACACTGATGACGACTACGACGACAACAATATCGTCTCAACGTCGTTCGCGGGACCGTCCAAGGCGACTGCCGGAAAAACGCTCATCAATGGTATTCGCAATGGCGGCGCTGGGGGTGATGGGAGCAACGGGACCGGAATCGAAAAGTTCCGTATTGAATACCCGAAAAAATTTCACAACGCTCGCAGCATGTCACTGTCCATGGAACGGAACGCTTATTGCGAACTGTGCCGCTTTTCACGCAGTCCCGTGCCATTTGAACTTGGTGGTGGTAGCGGAGGCAATGGCGGAAGTGATGAACTGGAGGACCGTGATAAAGGCGTCCGCCGGTACTTTGGGTTCACCATCAAACAGTACATGGCGCTCGGTTCACTCGCGCTGGTCGACTTTCTCGGGTTTTGTTCCATGTCTGTCATGGCACCGACCTTTCCGAAAGAGGTACTCGTATACTTAATATTTAGATACCTACCTAATGCTCACTTAAATGAATAGTAAATAGTTGGTGAAAATGTTGTACGCACATAGTGTCTTCTAAGGATAGGGGTAAGGGGTTGTAGTGCGGGTACTTAGCAGTTAGCACTTGGATACTGTGTGTAAGTGTAGACTTTCAACTTCAACGAATGAGATTGACGATTATCTTTTGTGAAAGTTACAATGGCATAATTGTGGAGGGGTAACATTTCCATTAGATATTTTTGTGCATATAGTCTCAATTTAACTCGATAAACATTATAAAAATGTTTGATTTTAATGCAGTTATTTATATTACAAAGCGTATCTAACCTGTACCATATCTGATACCATTATCTGACCATAAAGTGATATAGAAATGACCCTTGACAATCTGATTGGAATTTTGTGTACCTGTGACTTGAAGTCTAAACGGACATATATCGATTGTGCCCACCGATTTTGTATCGAATCGGCAGTTATTGTTTATAATAACTACTTATCGATTCTGGCGATTATTAATTGTGGGGTATAGTTATGAATAAATTTTTTTTTTATAACCCAAGAAATTGGTACTTAGTATGAGCAGTATTCGAAAAAATCAATGTGTAGATATTTTAAACAGTAGACAGCGGAGTCAATATATCTCCGTCCGAACATCCGAGAAACTTAGAAATGAGTTCGCGTGCCAACCTGAGGTTTAAACTTTATTTACACGACTTATGGAAACGTTTACCGTCACGGTGTTTATGTTACACTGGGTGAATTTGTTCATAGGTAAGCAGAATACAAGGACGTTAAGTACGAGCGTATATATTTTTTGCATGGACAATAGTCAGGTTTGGCTTACGAAGCAAAAGATAACAGTGAAATCTGCATTTTTAACATTAGTAATTTTAAATCGATTCACTACTGGTGTAATTTTTTACTTATCAAAATATATTTTGCCATTATAATCTATGTATCCAAATAAAATGTTGTTCGTTGGTAAGCACATAATTTAGAAACGGATAGAACGATTTGGCTATTTTTTAATATTCTTAATAGTTCAAATAAAGTTTATTACACTACCCTAAAGAACAGGATTACTCAAATACACCTACTGTATTATTTTATTAATATTTCAAACATTTAATAAATGTGAGATATGTGTTGTTATATTATGTTCGATTGTTAGGTACTTCAAATGCAGGTCATACGTTTCTAAGTCCAATAAAATAAAACTTAAAAAACTTTTTTGTAATTGTTTAAAACCCCGATCGCAAGACCAGTTTGTGTATAGGAAATAGCCAACTAACCACTCCTTAACTGGATAGGATTATAAGTATAAATATCAAGAGCCACTGGGTTTGAAAGAACGAGGGAGATAAATTGCACAACCGATAAGTATGTGCTCCTTATTCATAGTACGACAAGCGGCAACTATACTTGAATATCAACAACACTACCAGTAAAATTGGCCAGTGGTTATGATACAACGCATTCAAGTGTGAGATTAAATGATAGGCAATTTTTAGTGTGACGAGTTTTAAAGAAATTAGGTTATTAAAGGTAAATGCGTTTTATTCCGATTGCACAAAACAAATTTCATACTGTATAAAAATTTATAGGTAGTTAGAATTCACTTTTAACCTTTTTTTTCTAATTAAATATACCTATATATATACGCATACTTTTTTGATTGTAAGTGGAGCGAAAGATCTAGTGATCTAACAATGCTATTTGTTATTATTTATTTTTTTTTTTTTTTGACAGCTTTTTAATCTTAAGACTTGACTCATATGTAATTATTTTAATTAAGTAGTTAGTGTTACCTTATTAGTAATTATGAGATGCAATTTTTCTATTTTTGAATATTATAAATAAATCTATTAGGAAAAATTATTGTATAATGACGCAAAAATAATGAAATTTTGATTTTATATTAACGATTTAAGTTTAGTTCGCTATTCCGATAATTAATCATTCATTAAGTTCTGAATTATACATCTAATATGGTACGAGTATTACATAAACTTTAAGTAATGTTAATCTCAAACATACTTCTTAAGAGGATAAACTTAAGACCGATATATGTTATCTCTGTCTTATAGCCATAGAACATAGCAAAACTACACCAATTTTGTGTTGTTAGCTTTAATATTAGAATATGAGTATGAATTGACCTTTGATAAAACTTAAAATAAGGAACATTATCTGTTTTATCTTGTCAATTTTTTACGATATCTTAAATTTTAAGCTAATTATAAACATTTTTGTGTATTAGTATTTGACAGGTACTTAGAACTCGCTTAGTTATTAAAATATCATAAAAACCAACGAGAGATAACAGATAATTTTTGCATTTTTCATTTATCATATTCACTCTATTGAGAGTGAATTAGAGTCTAAAATTAAAGCTAACAACACAAAAACTGTTCTACTGAATGTCAATTTGATATGTTGTATGTTTGTAAGACAGAAAAAACACATATGGGTGTAGCATTCATAGTCAATAGTTACAAATATATACAGAAGCTACGTTCAAAATAATCTTAATGAACATAATTAATTCATAATTTCATTCAAATGCAACTCATTTATTACAGTAACCTACCTACTTAATAACAAGATATTTTTGAAACCTACTATACAGCAAAATGATTCCCTGGGATTTTCTCACATTTCGAATATTTTGATTTACGTATGAAAAAAGTAATTTAAGTGTAATTAAAATGACTTTTTCATAGTCTTGTATTCAAAAGCACTAAAAACAAAAGTTCAAATACTAAAATTACTGTACTTGTATGCTAAATTCCTTATGGTAATTTGTTTGTTGCTTTTGTTTAAAATTAATACATAAAACAAAAATAATTTAATTTAAAATACATTTAATCAGCATAACAAAAAGAAAAGTTTTCATTGATTAGCAAGTATTATTTAAATACACATTTGTCAAATGTAGTTATATTTAAGCACTTATTAGAAAATGTATTTAAATACATTTCAAAAGTTTTTTAAACATGTATGCATTTATATCCGACGCTGTTGTCGCATTCAATTTCCACAGGTTCTAAAACTCAATCCTTTAAATCGTAATATTATGTAACCGAGTCTTATAATAATTATACGCATTAATAATTAACTCACGTCGGCAGACGTTCATGCGTCCGTATGTAAAACGCACGACCACGTCGTTATCGTGGTTGCTGGCTTCTACAGGTCCCACATCAGGAAGACGTGGGTTTACTATTGTTTTTGCGATCTGCTATACATACTCACGTTCACTCGTTGACCACCGTCAACCCTTAAAATCCTGCACAAAACACAACCGTATTATTATTTATATATACTGCGCAATATATTAAAGTTACCTACATTTACAGTTTTAAGGGATTCCGTGATGGGTTTATGTGTATGCGGACTTCAGAACGATATTTATCCTTTTTTAGTGTTCCAAAACGTATAATACAGCTTACGTTTCGTTAGTATCCATTGGTAGGTATCTTAATAATAATATATTATATACATATATTCTATAACAGTATAGAATAATGTAAATAACTGTACAATAATGTATAAAACGTATTGTCGAAGATTAAGGTTTAACGTAAAGTAAATCAATCGATTTAGTCGATATTAGTGTACACATACTTATAAAATATAATAGTATCGTATCAAAGAAAAATAAAACACTAATGACAATTTTAATAAAATACAGTATACATAACAATATTCAGAAACTACAGTAATTCATGTTATTTGAATTACCCTATAGGTAAAAATACAGCATGTTATGACTCGTTTAGTTTAAAAATATTAAGAAAAGTGTATGACAAGGGCGGGTTTAGCTATATGAGCACTAGGGTGAAATATACTATGGGGATTTCAAATGAATACCTAAACAGGATAATACATTTTTTGATTATTAAATAATTTTCCATTTTTAAATGCGTAGAAAATATAAACTCGTTACCACTAATCGCTAAATGACTAAATAATAATAATAATAATAACAACTATAGGTACTATAGTTTATAGTCACTTAACTAAAACTTTGTATTTTTTTTATACTTAGTAAGGTGTAAACATTTACTTTTAGTACTGCGTCCGACATAATAATGATGATTGATATTAGTGTTAAATGTTAATTGGTTTTGACAACGTTGAATACGTCGTTGACCGTTATATAACTATGACCTTTTACGTATATTTTCCAACCCACGTATAAGTATATTTTGAAACGCTTCGAAAGATGGAAATATTCGAATGAGACGATCACGGACGGTACAAAAGAAAAATACTGGATTATTCTAGTATTTAAACTCATATAACATATTATGTTGAAACAATCCTAATGCATATAAAAGAACAGCCCTTTTTTATGTTTCCGTTTTGTAATGACACTATTTGATATTTTTCCAATTTTTTTTCACTAAGTTATACCAAATACTCCTACGAGTGATTATTATATTTTTGTTTTATTTATAATTCAGTTACTACTACTATTCAGTACTTGATAAAATTAAGTGAAATTTTGAGAAAGCATAAATTACACTCGGGCGAAGCCGGGTAATTCAGTTTGTAATAATATATAAATTGCAAAAATATTTATTATTTTTTTACAAAAAATTAATTTTAAATAGAAAAATAAATGATCATATTAAATTTTTTTAATATGTGTAAATTTAAATAAAATAAATATTTGTATATTTGTTGTTAAATAATATTAGAAAATTGTGGTAGGGGCATAATTTATGATAGTCTATAGACTGCAGCCTATTTAGCCCTTCTTTAAATTAGGCTCTATGAGTACCTTTTACATTAGAGATTAACTTTTCATTCCATTTCATGACTTATCTACTGATGTAGACGTGTATCAATATTGAGTACTTTAATATGATGTGACTTATTAGGTATTATTTATTAATATTTACCATTTTAGATACGTTAAATCGTTTAAACCTAGCCTAATTTTCAGGGATTAGAATAGTTCAAAAATATACTACAATTATGATCATGAATATATTAATTTATATATTTATAAGTATTAGATATACATAAATAGTACGTCCAATCCGCGATGTATTTAGATGGCAGGGTGGAGGTAGCTTGGACTCCGGGCGGTAACATTTGTTGAGTGATTTATTGTTATGTATATATCCATATATATATATATATATATATATAATGTTAGTTATTTTGTTGTAATTCAAAAAACATCAGGCGGATACACTTTAAATTGTCCGTTGTTATTTATACTGTCGTGTTCTATGTACAGTTAAATTTTTAAAATATTATAATTATTATAAATTATTTCATACTAATTTTATTTTTTCATCTGACACTCTACAATTTGCATTTTTATTGATAAAAATTAGTTTAATTCGTTGAATTAAAAAATTAAGTTATGTATACTATCTTAAAAAAACCTAGATTGATATTTTATGAGTTTTTAAAATATAAGTTTGTAAGTACCTATCTACGCTTGTAATAATGTAAATAATATCAAATATAATATAATTAAATATATAGGTATATAGCGCAGATAATATTATATATTACTAAATACTATTTTTACAATATGTATATGTATGAGGGTAATATGTATAAATATTTGCGTATTACACATAAACAAGAGTGTTTATTATTTACCGATAACATACTGAAAGGCGATAGCATAAATGTATAAACATGAAAACAAGAGAGTCATCCTAAACTTATAATTCCAAATATTTTACAACAAATAAAGCAAATTTATTATAAATAACTTTGTCATGATCGCTAACCTACCATTTTCTTAAGAGGTAGTTGTTAATGGAGATAAGTGCCACTGATCTTAACCGTCGATTAATAATGTAGTATTATTATAAAAAGTACAAATACTAGGTAGTACAAAATATAATAAAGTTACATTTCTGTTAAGAAAAAAAAAAAATAGTATCCTAAAACATTCTAAATACTATAGTTTATGGATATCTATTAATGATTCTCAATCAGCCCCTGTACAAACCACTGATGTTGAAAATAATTTTTGTTCTTATCTACAGTAAATGACTTAAGATTATACTAAACATTTTGTTAATTCAAGCATAATTCGGATTTATACATTTATTTTGTAAGACCGCAATTGTGTGATTAAATGTGAAATATAATGAAATATGTTTAGGCATGTGAACAAAAGTGTTCAGTAATGATTATTTTACTGATTATTATTTGTATAATTTATAAATGTGAATAATTTGATAAAAATACAATAAAACTTTTTCATTATTTTTTTCAGGCTGAAAAAAAAGATATGACAGTTTCTGAAGCTGGCCTTGTTTTTAGTTTTTTTGCTTTGGTAATGTTTTTACTCTCACCAGCAATGGGATCGATAGTAAGTGCAAATTTTTTTTATGAATAAAAATACTTGATATTTATGATGTTAATTAAGTATCGCCATTGAGTAGAAGTTTCCTACGCTAGATTTACATAGTATTTTATTATATATATAAACACTTTTTATTTCAACGAAAAAGCTTAAAATTAAATTAGTATATATATTGTAGGTACTAACCATATTATTTTCATTATTATAACGAAAAACGGATCGATTTATTGACAAATCAAAAAATACAACAAGTGTTCACTCCCCTCCTCTCTGAAAAATACATTATTATAATTAAAAAAATTAAACTGCAAAATTTTACAAAACTATATATATTGTTATGAAAATTAAATATTTAAACACTTTTTAATGTGATTGTTTTAAATTAAATCATTTCCTGCTATTTGATTTAAAAGTTTAACGTTTTTAAATATAAAATGCGTTTGTTAATACCATAATACCTACTATAAATTTCAAATGTTTATTTTAGATGCCAATATTCGGTACGAAATGTTTGTTTATATCAGGCGTATTTATTTCCGGAGTATGCAATATGTTGTTTGGGTAAGTACACATTGTGACATATAAAATATACTATGATTTTTTTGGTTTTTTATTTTAAATATTATTGACTTAAAAATATTATTTTTGTTGGAGAGCATAATTTATCAGGCTGTTAAAGTATGTAACACGGATACAATATAAATAGTACTGAGTGGGTATATATTATATTCTGTACATATTATATACTAAATCGAATGACATTAAAAAATAAAAACTTCTCATAGTTTTAGAGAAAATTGGGAAAATTTATGACATTGCTGGTAAATTATTCTTAAATTATTTATAATTTTAAATACTTATCAATTTAAGTATAGAAATGTTAACATTTTTTATAAAGTATATAAAAACAATATTCATATTTTTAAAATTAATAGAATATATTTAAATTTACTAGATGTTTATTATTTACACACATATACAGGCATATATTAAATTGATTTTTAATTAATTAATATTTTTACCGTATTAATAATATATTTTGACCAATTAGTGCCTACCAATTTTAAATATTCGTGTATGATAAACAAACTTCAGACTTTCAGAGTAACTTTAGAGTTAAGATACTTTAAATTGCCTTGAATTATACCTTAGACTCTTTAATAAACTAAACGTATATGCTGCTATAACAAACTATTAATATTTAAGTTTTCTAATTTATTAAAAACAAGTAAACAAACTATTATAAAGTTTTAAGTTGTTTAAACTTTAAATATTAGGAATAAATTGTAGTTCATGTGGCCTAAATTTAATTTTAGTATTTTTTGTATATTTCTATTTGAGAATAAAATATTTCAACTAACATACCACTAAGTTAACAATTAATATCTGTCGTAAGATTGATGAAAATTACGCCTAGTGCAGACCATCTTTATAAATCAATATTACGTTCGTAATACATTTAAGTACATGAACCATGGACCGATATCGTCGGTAAGAATGCAAAAATCACTTTAATCTTAATAGTTTTTAGATTGAAATATTACTTAAATTGTTTATATTTACTTTTTCTATTGGGATATTCTGTAAGTGATATACTTTAAATATAAATAAAAAATGTTTTTTGATGTTTAATAAAAATGGTCCAGTTGTCTTATTAAATTACTAACTTAACATTATATTGGCATCTTTTACATTATTACAAAGATATTAAACTACTCAAAATGTAACAATTATTATTTATAGATTCAATACTAATATGGCCATTACTTTTATATAAGTAGTACATTATAATATATATGCATTTATAATTAATTATTAATTTAAAATTTGATCACTCAAAGGATGTGACAATAAAATTATTTTTATTCATCATATATTCACTCATATTTAAATAAAAATTTTAATTTATAATTTTTATTGGACCTTTTTCGATTTGTAAGAAAAATGTAGATTGAGTAACTTAGTTCTTAACTAAAAATAGATACACAAATCTAACTTAAATAAAGTACATATAAATTGTACATTATACTATTACAACTAGTATCATATTATTTTTAATTTAAACTGTATAAATTAATTGAGATTTGAGATATTTAATGTTCCTTAAAATACTTAAAAATATAATTTAGGTACCATATTAGCTGCTATAATATCTATAATTGTTAAATTGAATTGAACCAATTTATGAATTCATTGTCTAATATTTTCTGTGACACAATTCACATGTCTGAAAATAATAATGAAAACATATTTATACAATATTGTATGATGTAAGTAATTTATAACTACAAAGTACAAATCATATCATATTATCATATATGAGTTTATATTAAGTTTTAAATTATCTAAATATTTAAAATCTAACTGAACTTTGGATAAAATTAACTTGCTGATTCTTATTTTAAACAATAGGATAAAATCAATAGAAAAACTTAAAGTTAACAAATTTTTATAAGTTTATTATTTATATAATAGTAACCAATGAAAATAAAGAAATACTTTTATTGCTAACCTGTAAAATATTAAAAGAAAATTAATTATAAAAATATAAATAATTTTTAATAAAATTAAAAATTGAATAGATAAAATAACATTGTGTAACGGGGAAAAAAAATTCAATATCTAGTTTCGAAATCATATATGTAACGTTTAGAATTTAGATGATTTTAGATATATGGCATAATTTTTAAATATTTGGACTTATCAATAATTAATAATAGTATTCTCATTATTATATTATATTATTACAGCCTGTTACCAATGATACAAGATAACTTCCAATTTAAAGTACTGTGCTTTATAGTACGAGGACTGGAAGCGATCGGCGCTAGTGCATTCTCTACATCAAGTTTTGTTTATGTCATTCAACTATTCCCAGAAAACGTCAGTAGTGTTTTAGTAAGTTTTCAATATATATAGGACATGTCATATTATATTTTATTTATTTTTTTTTTTTGAAAAATGCGGCATTAAGTGTTCATATCAGTTTTGTAACATTTTTTTTTTTTTTAAAGGTATACTAGAAACATTTGTTGGTTTAGGTATGAGTGTCGGACCTGCAATAGGAGGATTGTTGTCTTCGGTAAGTAATAAATATTCTAATTTATAAATATATATATACTTATTCAAAATTCTCACCAATCAAATAATTTCGATTTATTTTTCCATGGAGGTCGGAGGTTATGCGATGCCGTTTTTCGTTGTAGGTCTCTTAATGGTGGCTACGGTGCCACTACACATTTACCTCATGCCTCCAATTAGAGGTAAGTTTTTTGTTTTTGTTTATTATATTACCGAAGTGTAATTCTTATAATATATATGTATGTATTGGATTATTAAAATAGATGATGTAAAAGCATCGCAAGCTGTTGGTAGCCGATCCAAAGGTATAATTAAATTACTTATAATTCCATCAGCTTTTGTTGTCGGCGCTGTCATTACAGTTACATCCAACTTTTGGGCGTCACTTGATCCGACGCTCGAACCACACTTAAGAGAGGTATACAATAAATATAATTATTTCGTACATGTCAATGTATTTCGTTACATCATAACAATGAAATTTAAAATCCATACTTTTGTCAACTTACAACCCATGCATGATTTAGGTACTTTTTGTTTTGTTTGTCGAGTCAAACAAACAACAATTGTCTCGGGAATAAGACTTCGTCACAGTGAGGGCGATAGTAGGTATATTTTGTATGGAATTATATCAAGGCGAATTTGTAGTTGACTTGTGATTTATTTTTACGAATTGTATGTTTATACGTTAATTTATAAGTTATAACACACATTTTATTTAACATAGTTAATAGTTATGATTTATAACTTATAAACAATAACCTACATAATATAATATTTCTAATATAGCATGCAAATTATACATGTATAGTAAAAGTATTTTTCTAAATATATATTATACCACATTACCACATAGCAAATTATAGAAATTAAACAGCAAAATATCATATTAAGAGTTATAACCTAATTGACGTATATTGTACGTAATAAAATTATACATTATACCTAGTACCTACTACAAAGAATGTCTCAATGTTTTTGTCTCCATCAACTTTTAACTAATATATGCTTTTGGAAAATTATTATTAAATTTGAGATATATTTGAATATTTCCCATCCTGGTCTACCCATAATACGGATAGGATTATGCAAAGTGTATGAATTCATTTTAAATTTTAAATATTAAAATAGTTAATACGTTTTAATATTAAGCGGGAGGCAGGTAGAGTAACTATAGGTGTATTATACTATAATAATTAGCCACATACAATATGTATATTTATACCTATTTATATCTACTCACGCATTTATATAAATATATAATATAATCCTTATCCCTTGCTCAAATTTAAAATACATATAATTACTAAAATAATAATTAAAGAAAATATTAAATATTTAAATCTTAATTTTTAAATATCTACGTAAATTAGTTACATAAACTGACTATCAAGTCTAAGGTTTTTTTTAAATAAATTTTAATTTTTTTTAATTTTGAGTTGAGGTATATTTAAACTATATAATTATAATAGAAATCATAATATTTTTGACTATTTAATAGTTATGCCAAAAAATATTAATGTAAGTTATTGGCTATTGCTAGGGTTGAACACAATGAATGTGAGAATAACCAAACAACTAACGATTATACAAGTATATTATATATTTCACTATATAAATTATAATAGTTATTGACAAATATTTAATCAAAAGTTTAGTAATTGATATTTATTTCAAGCAAGTTATTTGATATTTTTCCTAATTAAAAAAAATATAAGCTTTCAAATATAACTTACTTAACATGAATACATTTTGAAATAATAAATAAATGTATGCAACTTTATACGGAACAATAAAAATTATTTGATGAATTATAGATTTGTCTTATAAAGTGTAATAATAAAATAATTAAATTTCACAGATGGGCTTATCAACTGATGAGGTGGGACTTGTATTTCTGTTTTGTTCAATACTGTATGGAGTATCAAGTCCATTTTGGGGTTACATTGCTGACAAGTACAATAACCATTGGTCAATGATGGCCGTTGGATTGTTTTCATCGGCTATCGGGCTATTTATCTTAGCTCCTCTTCCATGGTTACCATTGAATCAAGAGTAAGATAAATAATAAATAACTATAATTACTGTATAGGCAATTAGAAAATATCTTTTAGCAATCTAAATTAATAAAATATATTAATACAATTTTATATTCAAACAAAAAACAATTTTTTTAATTTATAATTTCAATTATTTTGCTATAATTCAATAAATATTAATCGTATAAGGAATTCAAAGTTTTCACCATTACGTGGCTATATTATTATTTTATATTTACCCATTTGTGTATACATAGCATTGACTTATCCTATAACTAAGTACACTTGAAACATATAATACAGCTAAGTGACCTCAGCGATATTTTTTATGTTTTAATGAGATATATTAAAACAAAACAATCAAGCCAATAATTTATAGGTATCTTTTGGTATTAAGAGTATAAAAAAAAATAGATCTATATTCCTTGTTATTTTATTTTATTTATCCATAGTTTGTTGTTATCACGATAAATTGGCAAAACTAGTGTTATAACGTATTTTTAGACTGAGAATAGACTATATTGGTTGAGTGAGATTTATTGTGTAATGGGAATATAATATAGTGAACATTTTCAGTTTTGTATTTTTATCACGAGTAAAAGAAAACAATTGTCGATGGAACAAAAAGCTAATATTATTTGAAGACTAGAATAAACACATATGAAACATTTAGAACTTTTGAAACTTTAGTTTCGCTGTGTAATAACTAAAGCGCGGATTTTTATGCACTTAAAAGTATCGAAATATGGCATATAATATGCAGTAAAAATAATGAAAATATGCAGTCAAAATTATGAAAATATGCAAAAATATACAAGAATTTTTTATTTATTTAAAATTTACAATAAAACTTATAATAATTAATTACTTAAATACTTAATAATAAATAATTTAGGAAATTTTCTAAACTTAATTTATTTTTAAAATTGTATTTATTATTAAAATTAATAATCATATGCATTTCAAGTTTTTCTTCTGTGAAGTTGTATCATTTATCGATTAACATATTTTTAAAGACTGAGAACGAACGTTTGACGTCAACCGAAGTTATTGGGGCATATTTGAAGCAACTTAGTATTGTCGGATCTTGATAAAGATTTTCAAGATGAACGTTTTCACTTAATAACACTGAATTAATTTTTCGTAGAATTTTCAGACCTTCATTTTTATTGGAAAGCTCGTTTAATTTTGTTGTAAGTGTTACACCTTTCAATCCAGGAATAGACTGCATTTTTTCTTTCGTTTCGTCAATTATTGAAAAGCTTAGATATAAAGTCATATTTCGAGTTTCCAGTTTTTTTTATGACTATTTTTATCACTAAAAATGCCAAATGAATAGATATAAATTTTAAATCATTCTACTTGACAAAATATTATCCTATACATTTTTTTAAATTTTCGCTTCAATATGCAATAAATTTTGAATTTTGTCAAAATATGCAAAAATATGCAATAACCTTCAAATATGCAGAAATATGCAAAAAAAAATTTCACCATTAGCTTCAAATTATGATAATTCGTGGAGATAACTGACAAAAATCCAAAAATATTAAAAGGAAAAAAATATGCAATGGCATAGAAATCCGCGCTCTAGTAATAACATAAAGCAGTACATATATACAGTTCCAAAATTTAGAATTAAATATAGTATTTTAGTTATATACAAGTGTTAATATACCGTTAGTATTAATTTGAATTACTATTTACTTAGACATACTGTTAATATGATCTTATCTTTAAATTTTATTTAGTTACAATCGTCAGTAATATTGTTCATTATATGTCAAATAATTGTCCAATTAACTAAAGAAAATATAGGTCACAATAATACTATTAATTATTCATTGACTAGGTTTAAAAGATATGATTAATATTTAATGAAATTATGTAGGCGTGTATGTTTAAGTAAAATATATTTTAATAACTGTGTAAAAAAAACAAAATATTATTATAATCTATTTTTTTTATATACGCTATGTGTTGTAGATTGTGTATATAATGTGTAATATAATATATATTATATAACATAATTATTTTGAATGTAATATTATACTTAATAGTGTTTTATGGTTGAACCTCGTTGGACTTGGAATTTTGGGCGTGTCCGCGTCATTAACGATGATGCCAGCATTTAACTTCATTTTATCAAGCGCAATGTAAGTAACACATTAACTCATATATTATTCATATAAGCGTAATCTTAATTTATTTGAGTGTATGTTGAAGAGGCTGAAAAAATGTAGGTACGCCAAAAAGTCCAGTCGTAGTAAAATTACTACAGGTTAAGTGCCATATTTTATTAAAACATTTTTATATATTATTAATAATAACTGAGATCTGGGACGCCCTGGGAGGGTCAGAGAGGTTGTACCCCACTCACCGAACTACCATAAAACAAACTAAAATTACAAATAAAAAAATGATAGAAAACAATGATAGCATTGATAGCTGTAGTAAAAACAAAATAATTAGAAATGGGTGATACGACAAATTGAAATAATATTATACTAAGATGTTAGCACACTATATATTTTTATTTTATTTTTCTGATCTACGCGAAATAAAACAAATTTTTGTTCGATGAACCAATCTATAGTACTATTTTATTAAATATTAGATTTAATTGACTTATTAACAAATTTTAAGTTCAGTACATTATTTGTGTCTTACAATAGGGGTTAATGATGTTTAAATTTTTCTGTATCATGAATATCATTTTTAAACTATAATTGTTTACATATGTAATGTATATTTACTAATAAACTTGCATTCAAATTTAAATACCGTAAAAATATCAATGTATGAACACAGATAATGTTTATATCTCTAAGTTAAAAAAAAATAGGTCAATTCATTCTAGTATTAGACCTAGCAGTTCTGGATTGATTTTAATTAATTCCGTCATACGCAAGATTACTATTTTTCACTTGATCTAAAAAAAAAAAATAAAAAAAAAAAAATGCTCTGGAAACTGACATTTGTTTAATATTTTAGTGATAAATGTAATATTATACTATTAAAATATAACTATAATGTGTTGAGCCGTTGAGTGTATAAGAGTTGTTGTTGAAACCAGTACGATAATAATATGCTTGCTAAAAAAATAGTTTTTATAATCTGTTTTAAAAAATTTATCTCATAATTTATAATTTGAAATGATTATATGATAACATAAACGATTTTATTTGTTATAAACATTTTTAGGGAACTCAGTAAATTTTTGGGGGGATCACTGGTTACGCTAGCACCATATATTACTCTTATAGTCATATGAGTCTTATGCTTTTAGGTATATTATATTATGTACACTTATCACAATAAAGCAACGTAACGCATTGGTACACTAACATACTGTACAATCAATAATTATTTAATTCACATGAACATATTTATTTTTAGAGAAAATGGATTTCAAGAAAGCGTTTCTACATTTGGAACTGTCGCCGGATTTTGGTCGTCGGCCTATTCACTTGGGTACTTTCAACAATTATTATTATTATTATATTATGTTAAATTACAAAATATTTTTAAAATAAAATTCGTTTAAACGTAGATTTATGAAAATCTGAAAATGTAATCATAATTTTTTTTTTTAGTTTATTCAACAGTGTTATTATCTATGCTTAATAATATTTGTTTCCTTTTTGCGGCATATACTAACTTTATTGGCTATTATAATTTATATAATATATTTAAGAAAATAAAATGTAGCTAACAAGTTTTTTTGATCGTTTCAGTGATATGACCGGTCCATCATTGGGAGGCGTTCTTTTACAACATTTCGGGTTTTCTATATGTATGACTACAATGGGTCTGTTTTGTTTAGTAGTGGTAAGAAAAAAAAAATACTAATTTCAATGTCAAGAATTATTATTATTTTGTGTGTGCTATTTAAAAGAATTTCACATTAATATGTTATTGAAGTTATTTAAAAAAAAAAATTATTATAACTTATCATTGACGTCTACCTAATTTTAAACTACCTATCTGTGAATTATATTATAATTGTGTTTTTGTGTATCTAGGGGTGCGTCAAAGTTTAATTATTAATTATCAATTACTATCGGACAAGTTATATATGTCATGCATAGTGCGTGGGGAAAGCGTTTTCTTTATCATAAATTATAATTGAATAACTATGCTTTAGAAAATTTGATTAAAAATATCCAATATTCTATTAATTTTATCGTAAAGGAACAATTAACTTTTTTTTTATTTTTATTATTGATCGCAAGTACAAACTCGGCAGTAAAGGCCATTAGTAATTAACTTTCATTATTGTTTTAAATAATACATGTCGAAATCAAACAATATACGCAAATGCGTATTTCAATTCAATTATAACACTTAAAAAATAATAAATTATTATTAGTTGATTGTAAATTTATTATTAATATTATGTTTTTTTAAATTATTATTTTTTTATTCGTTAAATAGGTATACTATTTTATTTTAATTACTTCTTATTGTTTGATTATTTTGGATAAATGATTAATTAAGTTTGGCGATATTTATGCATGAATAAATACATAATCTTCTTATAATATATATATACATATATACATATCATTTATTAAACTATTTAATAAAAAGTATTTTAACCTTTCGTAATAAAAGTAAAAGTAATGTCAAATATTTACTTAAGTAACCACAACTTTTCTTCAATTCATAATAAAACAAATAATAAATATTAATAAACATTTATAATATCATTATAATATTTAAGCTTTATATTTTTTTATTCGTATTTTAAAGACTTTTTTTGTTGCTCTATTATTTTAAAAATAAATTAGCTATTAACTACGAAATTTAATACAATTTTAAACATTAAATATTTTCAATAAATTTCTTTGATTTCATAATACGATATACAATTGTGAATTACAATTTATGTACCATGTATTTATTACTTTCTTTTTTAGGGTGTGATTTCGGTTGGGTTTTTTGGTCTTGTGAAAAAAAAAAAAAAAACGTCCTCGAACGATTTCAGACAAAAGTCCGCTAAACGATCCGAAAATTATACATCCACGATATAATTCACTGAACGACGATCGAGGTAGATCAATGCTAATTTCAAATTTTTCATCTAAAACGGAAACCACTGAAGTGTAAATTAAATCTGTAAGTAACAAATTAAACATTATTTAATACTTATTTTTATGTACCTATTAGTATATTAAAAAATAATGTAACTGAATACTATCTGCAGGTAGCAGGTTATTAATAATAATTTTTTATATTTCAGGTAAACTATTCTACCTGTGTCGAAAGTTCCATTTTATATTTGTTTATCGTTTTCAACATGAGGATGATTCATTAATAATAGCTTATTTTTAGAAACTATCTTTATTATTCCAGTTAGTAAATAACTATATAGGTAGTTGATAAATTATTTTATTTCAAAAATAATTATGCTTGACCTTTACATTTTTTTCAAAAAATATATTTTATAGTATGTAAAATTAAAAATTTAGTATTAATTATTTTAAACTATAATATTGCTAATTGTATGTGAATTAGATAAGATTTTTTTTTAGTACACGTTTTTTTAATGTTATACTAAATATTGCATTATAAATTGACTGATTTTATGAATCACAAAAAAAAAAAAAAAAAAAAACAATATTTTGTTTGTAAAAATAAATATAAATACATAATACTACTTTATAATGTTATATTTATTTTATTGTACAAGATTATTGATTATTATAATTTTAATTGATTTAAATATTAAGTACAAAATAAGTTTAAATCAACAACAGTGTGAGAGATAATAAAATATGATTAAAGTTTATGGATTAAAATTTGATTGCTTTGAGTCGTAATAATACCTACGTAGTTGTATTGCGTAGTCGTATGGTACTAATATACAATTAAATATAGAATAAAAACCCCTAAAACTGTTGTAGAAAACTTTCGAATAAAATGCCAATATTTTTAACTTGGCAACATTCAGTTAATATAACAATAAACAGTGACGAATATCTGTTGAGGATGTTGAGTGGATCGTATACTCTGGAGATTTTTATTACTAGTTATTGTTCTCTCTCGTATTATTATACGCATATAGCTTTAAATATTTTAATTCATTCCCTCTCGGGAACATTATGCAAACCACCCCTGCAATAAATTATGTAGAAAATCATTTTTACGTACGTACTACAGAATCAGAGAAGTATGTACATTATTCGATAAAATTAAATGTAACACGGTGGTTTTCATCATTTTCTTTTCACAAACACGTTTTAACTTAAATTAAAATTAATAGTGACTTAATTATTTAAATTTAACCATTTGATTAAGTTTTGAAGAAACAATAATAAAAAATATTATAAATCTATGTTAATTATCATGTTTATTTTACATCTTACCATTTTAAAAACAAAAAAAAAATATTAATTTTTTTTAATTAAAATTAATTTTTGTAGTGAAAGTAACTAAATGCTCAAAATAAATGTACTTTTTTCTATTATAAAAAAAAGTGCTAGTTAACTATATTTTGAATTTTAATATTAATAATATTATTTTATTATACATATCTAACCAGTGTAAGATTTTACTACTTATTTTTAATAATATGATTTAAATTTAAAAAAAGTTCTGATGACTGAAAATAAATATTATTAATATTAATTAAGTCGTAACATGAAACATATTTCTGTAATTTGAAGGTAAAGTATTTAAAAAAATAATGAGCCTTGTCAGATTTTATAAAATTGCAGTTTATACGTACCTTTAGCGTTTAATATATTATTATAATTATACAAATAAGTATACTAGAAGTAGGCTAATCGTAGGAATATACGTATACAAATATAGTGCCTATAAACCTACACTATCGATATAAAATCAAACAATAATTAGTTATTTACTTATTCAAATAATATACTTCGCGTACTTTTTTACCTATACCCACTAAAATCCTTTTGATACATTACTTTAAACTCGAAATTGTATCGATTTCACGATAAACTCATTGTACAAATTTCTTAGCTTCTTTATCTTACGTTGCTTCAATTGACGGTGATTTTTATGACGTTTCCATCAACTTGTATAAGAAATTATACATAATTTACTATTTGATATTCAATAGACGGTCAAACGTCAAACAGTGGGATATTTCGTATAAATCTGGCCAAAATTAAATTTTTCAGTATGCATTTTTAATAATATTTATTAATATCTATAGTATGTTCAGTCCAAATTAGACATCATATAAAATTATTATTATTATAATGGAATCATTGAAAAAACAAAATTTTTCTAACTAAAACATAATTGACTTGTAACTATGAGTTATAAAATTACATGGAAATTAAAATAAATACATCATTTGTTGACTTAAGGGCATATAATATTGACTGTTTTGAAGGAGTTCAATATAGGCAATACTCTTAAGTGCACGCGAGAAAGTTGTGTACATTTTTGCTTTAGTAAATGATCATTAGTGTGTGTGTGTATAGTGACTGTAATGTTAAAGAAATTGTGGAGTGCTTCCGAACTTGCACATATTTGTTAATAATGCACTAAGTATACGAATGTTAATATTTTTTTTTTATTTTTTTTTTTTTTATTTGTATCAATCTTTTGGAAATTTGCTAACCTATATACATTTTATTCGATACGATTTTTGCAAACATATTTTATTTCATCGTTAAATTAACTTTAAAATGACTATCTCATTTATTTTTATTTATTTTGTTTTTTAAACAATATTTTTAACAATTTAAGATTCTCAATATACAATATATAAAAATCTTATAGTTTGATTTCAAAAAAGTGTAAAAGTCATTTCTAGTAAGCTCCGTGACGAATTGAAATATTTTTTCAGAATTCTTATTCAACTATTATTACGGAATATCCTGTACGACTAGCATAATATATGTCTATTTCAGTGTATAATTCAGCCTTCATCGAATTATTAAATACCGAAAAACACGTTGAGTCTAATTTCATTTTTATTCTTGGGTATACGTAAGTATATTCCCATTTATAATTTATAGTGTAGAACAACGATGTGCAAATAGTATATAATTAAACTTTAATTTTAGACAGGATAATCGCATATATTTAACATAGTCAACTATTACATAAAGCCATTAAGTTATATACTGTGAAACCTCTGTTTATAGAATCCCCTAAAATCTTGAAAGGACGTCACAGAAGAAAATCGTTGACCGTAAAAATGTTTTTTTTTTTTTTGTAGAGCAATACGTAATTAGTAATTAGGTATGAAAAGGGGGGCCCTTTTTAGATTCAATTCGAGTTAAAAAAAAATGAATGTTTTTTACCTGTAAAATATCGGGACCGAGTTTACAATCACCCATTTGAATTATTCTATGGTATCCGTTCATAGAGACGTTTCATTGTACACGTGTGAAGAAAGGATTCATTTCATAGTGTTGATAAAAAAAAAAAAAAAACGATTATACAATTTTTTTTTTTTTTAATAACATAGTTACGCGCGCATTATCATATTGTAATATGGGGATTGAGTTCTAAAGACCACGCCGTATGGTGCAGCGTTGTGCTGACATGCAGAGTGCGTAGAACGGTATATTTGTACAAAAGTGTATAAGCGTATAAACCTGGGGGGGGGGGGGGTACCAAATGAAAGAGACAAGTGCGACAAGGGGATGGATTCGCGAACAAAGCGTCACGTACTGACCGTGTATATAAATATATATTTATTATAATATTATACATAATACACGTACACTGCGGTCTGTGAGTAACGACAAGAAATAAATTCCCCGCAAGCAGTTTACATATACAGGAGAACTGGGTCGTGTCTTGTGTATACATATACTATGTATATCTATATATATATATATATATATATATACACACCTATACATTGCAGTACTTATATTATATTCACCCTTCTGTAGTTTCGCGTTGTACACAAGCTTAGTTTACTGAGCAAAACGAAGGTGTGGAAGAATTCCTAGTGGCTGTGGCTTAAGTTACAAGTTTGATTTAGTGGGTTCCATGACCGGACGAGCTGGTATATTATAAATAGGTGTGGTTATACTGCGCACAGTTATTTCTATGTACGTTTATCATATCGTCAACGAATCATTTATATTATTTAATTTTCTATACGGCTTCATAAGTTATCAGTCATTACGATCAGACCATATTATTAATTGTGTTTTTAATTTTTAAAACTACTCTTTTGGTTCTATCGCGTACATTTTAATGAAACATTTATTCAAAAACTAGCTAGTTTGAATTTTGAAAATTAATAATTGCACAGATTTTATTTATTATTATTATTGTTGTTTGTTCAACCGGCAGATTCAAACCAGAATTCAGAATTTAGAGAAGTTTTATATTAATTTGCAATATACACGCTTGTACTTTTAATGCAAACATAAAAAAAAAAGCGCTCTCCATATTATACAGTCAACTAGCATAAACTTAAGGTGCTTGTATTTTTATGAGTAGGAAGTTATTAAATATTAAAAATAATTTCGGACGAATATTATAGTTAGGTATCTTAATTCATTTATTTTTTTCACTCGTTTTCTGCACTATATACTTATAAAGTTTTATGTATATATACTAGTTTATAATGTATGCGTTTATATAAATATGTTAAACTATAAAAATAATACAGGTTAAATTATTATTATTATATTTATATTTAAATATATTTTTAAAAAGAAAAAATATATAATTTGTAGTTTATATCTTTCGTATTATTAACTTATTACTCAAGACTAGCTTGGTACATCAAAATTCGAAATATTTTATACAAGAAAAAAATGTATAAATTAGTTATTGTTAAATTTTCATATTTATATCGTGTTATTACAAAACTAGTAAATTATAATAACACCTAAATGGTCAATGGATACCTATTGCCGGTAATAATGTAATTATTTTAATATCGATCCTTTTGCCCGTCCACTACCTATCTAACACCAATATTTTATAGCCAAAAATTGAATACTGTGTAAAATAATCGAATAGTTATTGTAGTAACGTTATAATAATATAATATAAAATATTTTTAGTTACACGTAGAATTAGTGTGCTGTATAGATATAAATATTATACCTTACAGACATATATACTTTTATACGGAATAAGCAATTGGCACAAAAGAGAAAATAAACATATTAATTAACGAGTGCCAAACACATATCACGAAATCAACACGTCATGCGGACGTTCAAATCCCCCTTGGACTATGACAGGGGTGACTCGAGTGGTTAGAATGGTGTTAAGAGGAAGGAAGGGGGTGATGCGTGTAATGAAGCGTTTCCATAGTAATGCTCGGCCGAAGGGGTTCGACGATGACTGCAGTGGGAAATCAATGTCAGGTGGTGGGGGATATGGGATTGAGTTTATATACGGGCTAATACGCATATACAATATTTTATATATACATAATGAGTGACACCTACA